GTTTTTAAATTATTGATTAGTGATACCCATTTATATTATATGGTGATACAACTAACACAGAAATTAAAAATAGTAATTTATCTTTATCGATAGAGATTTTACAATTTTGATAGGTACAAGCTACAATAAAATATTATTTTGAATTTCAATTTTTTTATACTTATTCAATAAATGGCAACGCTGTATGATCTTAATTTGTTCTAAATCAGATGCATAAAGGCTATTATTTAAGATAGAAATGAGTTATTATGCCGTATATGAAAATCATATATTGTATCTTAAAGTTATAACTTTCATATATTGCATAAGAAAACACCCTTGAATTATAATACGTAGTTATTTTTTCTCCTAAAAGTCATTTTAGTAATAAGAATAATAATATAGTATTCAAAAAATTAAATGAATAGAGAGTAGACTAATTTTATTTTAATGAGTTGCACTCTGTAATTTTTTTTAAAGAGACAGAACATATTAATATACTATTACGTTATAACTTATAAGTATGTATTTTATGAATATTAAATTGATTTTCGGTTTTTTTTTTTTTTTTGAAGTATTGAAATTACCTTAAAAATTACGTTCAAATAATAATAATGATTTATATAAGAATAACGTTAAGTCAAAGTATTAAGTATGATTTTCTAATAATCTAATCTATTAAAGTTGCTTGCTATATTGACAAAACACATACATAATCGAAGACAAAATGTGATATTTATACACTTTTTATAGGTATCTTAAATCTTTACATTGTCTAGACGATAAAATTTATTGAATGCAGACGAGCATTGCAAGACCATAATTTGATTTTTTTAAAACATATCGTCTACCAAGAAAATATGGCGTAATTTAATTATTTTGACATTCAAGTATAAAATTATTTCAGATAAAGGGGTTAAATTATAATATATGCTATTTTTTCGGGTGAATCGTGCATTTTATATCGTGAATACTGCAGTATATTAAATGAAATTACTTTAACAAAACATTTTTTTCCTGCATGATGGGTTACTACCAACAGCTATTATTATATTATAATACAACATAATATTAGTACTACGTATATACTTAACGAACACACCATCCAAAAAACCGGATATGCGCATATTATTATTATATTATAATATATTATGTATATTATAGGTACCTAAATTGATTTTCGTGTGGCACACGATACATGCGGACCATTATGATTGTTCAAATCGTACTCGTCGTGATATTGTGATCGCGATATTGCTCGAGTAGTAATCATTTAAAAAAACGCGACCAGCAATAGTAATGTAATACGTAACAAATAATAATATCGTTTGCCGACGATGGGATTTGGCGTGCCACTAAAAAGTCACCGCCGCGGGTCAACTCACGCGGTTTGTAGTTAAACACGTCATACTAATAAGTTATTAGTAATAACTATAATGACGGCCACATTAGCACGCCCCTCGAATACTCTAATTGAATATGCCGGGTCCGTAACATTTCTGAATATTCCGGAGAAAAAGATCGGAAAAAAATAATAATAAACATAATATAAAATTAATAATAGTAAAAAAAAAAAACACATGTACACACAAAATCGAACGAACCTATGACGCGTCGTAGACCCGGACAAGAAAAAAAATCCATCCGTCATCGCGGGTACAAATCGGCGTGTCGGCATCGATCGAGGTGTTATTACTATTAGATAATCATATAGCGTGTAGGTCTTTTTTCCTTTACATAATACACTAATCAATTATTCCGGGCGCCTGTTATTTTTTATAAAACTTTTTTTTTGGTCTTTTTGGCTTTTCATCGTTGCGCAATACACGAGCTAATGATCTAGTCCATATAAATATATAACACGAACTATATAACAATATACCTATATAATATATGCGCTACAACACGATCCAAAACTACTATTTTGCAAATATATTATGTATAGGTTAGGTATTTAATACTCGGATATATCATCACTACATAGTTGTTTTTGATAACTTCATCAATCTCGTGCTATTATGTGTTTAGAAATCGCGTGTGAAAACGAAATATCTCAAATAGTTTAGAATATTTATAATGATATAGGCACCATGTGGCATTTGTTTATATTATATTAAACGTATTATTCTCATTCATTGTTTTTATCGAGAAAAAATTTAATTAAAGTAGAACATAACTTTTATCAAAAAAAAAAAAAATAGTCACTTATAAAGTATATTTTATACTTTATATTTGAATATAATCATTATTTTTACTATTATATACATTAAAAATACAACAATATTTTACTGATATACAAAATAATATGTATACCTTTACACATAGTATTTTTATAAAAATGGTTATAGTGACTTCAACGCACAAACACAAATTAACAAAAATATAATTTAAAAATTAAATTGCAAAAACTCACATATAGAACAAATTTAGAATATTTTTAATAATATTTTACAAGACAAAACCGCTGTGTTCTTTTATATTATCTTAGTATAAATGTATATTTATTAGTTGATACTCTTCATAAAACTCACCCTATTATAACGTCATAGGTATATTTAATCGCCGTTTAATGAATACGACCAATATGTATGTCACATTATATTTTTATATCTTATTTTAGATTAAAAGCCCAACTATATTTTATACACAAAAAAACGCCATTTTGTGGTTTTTTCATCTTACAAATTATTTCGTGTTGGTCGCACTCCCTCCGGATACGCATCGGTTTTGAATTCCGGTCGCGGCGTACCACGTATATAAGGTTAACGTGTTAGAATAGATAACCGAAACGTGTGCGCCGTAATCGACTTCCCTATATACTTAGAAAGAGTAAAATATATAAATATACGATCAACGTGATATACGATCCACCCTCATCCGACCGTCGAAATGATGTCACTAATTTTGTAAACACTAGCACAGTTATTATACCAAAAAGTCGTCGAAGTGAAAAGGAAACCCATAATAGATGTTTATACGTTGACTTTTAATATTGTGACTAGAGAAAGTAATAATTAGTTATTTGAAACCATTGATTCTATCGTCTTATAGGTGCTTTTTAGTAAATTACGTAACGTTTAATTAAAATAACATAACTATCAATATAATAAATTATAATACGACCAAAGATCATCGATTTACTGCACGTTTGCACATTTAATAAGTATTTACTGTGGTTATAATCATGTCGTTCATTGACTGTAACTTAAACGTGTATACTTATAAATAGATACTGAAATACAATACAAAAATATTCGTAATTTTTTACGGTGTTTTCAAAATAAAACAACTATTGGTGTGTACGTAATTCATTACATCAAGTTCATATATAATATATGTTATTAAAATACATAAGTTATAACTTAATTATATAATATTATGTTAATATAAATAGATAATGGAGTAAGATCGTAGAAATTTATGATCGTGAAAACATGCTACAAATTCGTTAAATAAGTTCAAACTACGACGCAAAATGTAGTACCTATCACATATATTCAGCTACACTATATAATGTAGTGCATTAAAGTCTCTTCAAAACATGAATTGGTATATGCACTTAATACTAGGACTTACAAACGCTATTATAACGTTATATTTAACAAAAAACGATTGAAATTTTTAAATTTAATTATAACAGAAAATGATAAACATAAATAATTAAATAACATAAAACAAAACATAACGATTAACAAAATATATGATATATCATCAAATAAAACGTAACGTAAAACGCTATATTATATAGTATATCATCAAATTAAATAATTAATTTCCTATTATTTAATAGTTATAATTTATAAAATATATTAAAAATTTTAATTCTGAGTAACGATAAACTCAAAATTTAAATAACGTTTAAATTCTGAATAACGATAACTCAAAATTTGTATAATGTCTTAGTTATGAATAATGTATAACAAAATTGTTATTTTTATATGCAAGTCCTGCTTAATACTAATAAACTACAGTACTATATTACCATGCTGCAAACACGCATATTATAATAGGTATATGTATAGTGACAGTAATTTGATGATGCGAATCATATACCAGACAACGCAAATAGAATAATAATTATAGTTATTAATTTAATAAAAAAGGAATAATATATATCAGTCTGTGTGCATAAAAAGATCAGAAATACAGTTATTTAACTCGACTCTTGATCTTTCTCCTACTAGAACATAAATGTAAATTCCTGACACAATATTTAAAATAACAGTGACACCGACACACCGCAAGTTGATAACAATTAACGAGACTCGTGATATTTACCTTTAGAAATGGGCAACACGGAATTAGTCAAAATAAAATATTCTAATTGATTTCAATGGCTATAGTAATTCGATTAAATATTAAATTATTACCTAGATATTCTTAACATTGTAAAATGTGTATAAAATGGAAAGGAAGCAATTATTGATCAAGTAAACAATCGTTTTTCAATTAAAATTGCAAAAATTAATTTTACCAGATTTTATTATTAAAATAAAATTTCATCGAAACCAATTCATAAATCACCAGCTGTAGACCACCAGGGTATCAATTCGGTAATGTAATTGAGAATCAATTTTACACGCCCCTATGATAATTCATACGAATAGTAATAATCAATTTTAATACAATGATTAAAAATTATCTCTCATAAATAGACATAATAATCTTATCAAATATATTTATCGTATGTACGTTTTGTTCATATTTCTCTGTCTTAAGGATTATATTTCTTTTTAAATGATAATTTCCCCATAGAAAACAATACATAAACATAAATAGTAATGTCAGAACTCAGAAGTGGTAAATATTGTAATTATGACGATTATAATATTATGTACGACGAAAAAACCGACTAATATGTACCTATATCACAATAGTGTAGGGTCGTTGGTGGTTCTGTAGCAGCGGTGGCGGCGGCGTTCTATTTGTCGGGCCGCGTGCGACCGGGGCGGAGCGTGTTGTGGGGAGAACGTTTATAAAACGCGTTACCGGTCCCTTCCGGCCGATCAGTAGCTCTCGGCTAACCATACCGCGTACACGTACTACCCGTAATCCGTCACAAGAATTCGTTCACGCACACGAAATTTTAGACGACGCGATTTGATTTGTTTTACGCATGAGGCTGTCGCGTTATACTTTTATACAACATTAAACTATTACTCGAGTGTTACAGTACCGTATTTACAGTGCGTATTAAATCGATCGAAAAAAGATTTTCAAAGAATAATAATCCTTTTTTCCACAAGTTTTCCGACCGATCGGCAATTTAATATAAAAAAAATGGCATCGGTACTGAACATGAACTACGGCGTGTACTTCGGCGGTGACCGGTACGACGTCGATCAATACGACCTATCAGCTAGTGATACGCTTCGCGCCGTCTACGAAGCGGCTTTCTCCAGTGGCGGCGGCGTCGGGCCATCTTCGTCGGCTGTGGCGGTGGCGTCACCGGATCAGGGACTCGTCGACGAGTCGACGTCAATGATCGGTGTCGTACGAGGTGGTTCTCCGGCAGGTTCCGCGTGCACAGTCGTCACAACATCCACTACGACGGCTTCGTCGTCTTCTTGCGCTGGCGACGATCCAAAGTCTCCGTACGGTGGCTATGGCGGAAGTGGTGGCGATACGGCCCTCGACTTCGGCACCTACGACGACGGATTGGGCAGTGAACTGGCGGGCAGTGACGACGCGTGCACGGACGTGGTGACGAAGAAACGCCGGTTAGCTGCCAACGCCCGAGAACGGAGGCGCATGCAGAACCTGAACAAGGCGTTTGACCGTCTCCGCACTGTGCTGCCCACGCTCGGCAACGACCGACAGTTGTCCAAGTACGAAACCCTACAGATGGCCCAGACTTATATAACGGCCTTATACGATCTGCTCCAGTGATCGGCTCTTGCTCAAGACTGCTCCTCGACTGCGGATCCAGCAGGACGAAAGAATCCTTCGAGACGAATACGGTATAGGTACCTATAATAGTAATAATATATAAATGGCGAACTTATCATAATAATATCACCTTACCTGTATAACATTATATCGGGCATGACGCTATTGGCGTCGTAATTTATTTTTATATCAGACTATAGATTAATTTAGAAAATGTAATCATACACATTCCCCCTTTGAATGCACTATTTATGTATGGTATTATTAATGGCCGTTTTTATGTATACGGTTTACTTTCCATCTAGTCAGTGGCCGATTTAAGTGTGGTAAAAATAATATCGTGTTGAACAACAATTTTTACTTTTTTTATTTTTTAAAATAGATGCATGTTCATTAATTAATGAACATTATATTTAATATAATGCATAAATAAAAATACAGTCGATATATTTTTTTAACAAAAATAATATCCTTAAAATACACAATATTATTTTTAAGTGTTACCATAGAAAAATGTGAAAAATCTGCCACTGCCACGTATTATGTCACACGAATATATTACCTATTATAAATTATTATAGAAATAATATGTTAGCGATTTTTCGATGATTTATCACAATTGGATCACGAATCGAGCACACTTAATATTATATAATTATTATTTTTTACCATTATTTTATTGTTGTATATTGTCATCCTAGTCTGATGTTTATTATTATCTTTTGTACATCAAATAGTAGTGTGTAAGCGTTATTTTTATGACGATATTTGATGTACGCATCACGTCGTCCGGCTTGTAAATATGTAATAACATTATCGCGACCGTAAAATTTGACTGTACGCATCTATGTCTATTGAAGATTATCGTCTCTCCGAAGTAAATAGAAAACTTGCAAATCTTTGTGTACATGTGTGCCCGATCATATAATTATACAATACTATTTCTTTTTCAGATGTATGATATTATTATTATTATTATTATTATTATAATACATATTATGTAAATTCGCCAAAAACTGTGATAATTTTTGTATATTTATACGTATGTTGTATTTGTATATTAAACGTTAAGTATAATATTATATTTTGTAATTTATGTTTTATTAAATATACTTTTTTATTATATTATTACTATGTACATAAATATTATTTTGTAAAGAAATTATAAATTGCTCAACAATAAACGAAAAAAAATGTCTCTACTCAAAACATGACGGCTTGTATATTTTTATTATTTACGACTTTTACTCACCGGCGTAATAAATATCATGATATTATTACATATTCTTATAATTATCATCACCGTCAACACGTAGCACGTGGGGCGGAGACGATAATATTATTTCCGATACGATCACGGTGCAGTGATGATGGGCGTCATAATATATAATATTATAACTTCTTGATCTTTTTTTCCCGTATGTTTCCCCCCTGTCCCACTGCAGTTAAATAATACAACGTTAATTGAGTAGGCAACACGTTACGGAAAAAAAGCATATGAAAAAAAAAAATCTCTAAAGAGAAAAGGGTAACAATGGCAGACGACTTCCGTTCACACCGAAATCTCGGAACCAAGGGTGAGTCTTCATCTTGTCTAAGACAAAAGTCGGAGTGAACTACTCGTCTTTCTCACGGACTCGCTGGTATACCTTGTGTGTGTGGGTACACTCGAGGGCAACAATAAAACGTAGTTATATATTATATTGTTGAACGGCATCGATTTATGGTGTTATAGTATATTTTTTGGGGGGTTTATTATTATTATGATTTTCTTTTTCACTCAAAACTGTAACTATATAATATAGGTACGCGTTTCGAAACGTGTGATATTCCTTCGTTAGGCATTACAACAACAATAATAATTAAAGGGCCACCGATATAGACGTGCGGAGACGGATGTAACACGAAAAATATTATATATTCAGTTATATAGGTATAGGTACAAAGTGGCACATTTCCACACGTCAATGCCAACAGCTTCATAACTACATTTTCTGACAAGGGTTCAGCGCAAACCCTTAATCTAAATAATGGACAATATATTATAATAATAACAATGATCATACTCAACTGCTAATAATCTAAAGCACGGCGGACGCCGTCTATTATTTTATGTTATTATAATAACGCGCAGTAAACGGTAATGTATATCGCAATAACCGTATTAAGTATAATTATTATTTATCCTAAACATGGCGCTGGAAAAAAACAAGTGGTACTTATTATACGTTGTGTCAAATTTAAAAAACAATATTGATAGTTCATGTTTTGTATTTTTTTCTTTAAAATTTTTTAATAATAGTGGTTTTCAGTCTAAACCATCACAAATTTTATAGAATATAAAACTATTTAAGGTTATTTTGAGTATTATATTAAATTACTTTTTTAAACTATTTTATTATAGAAAACTATAACACAACTACCGTCCAACTGCATATTGTGGTAAAATTTTGCAACAACTTGCTTCATACACCTGGAAATATACCAAAAATCGAAAAACTTTCGAAATAGTATTAAAAATATTATTTACTTTTATCTTAAATTTAATTTAAGTATCAAATATGTAGTTATCAATTACAAAGTTTAAAATTTGATAAATAAAAATAATTTTTGTATATTATATCATAATATTAAACAATTACTTCTTTTAAATAAATATCGACATTGTATAAATAGTAAGTATAATTATTCAATTACTGGTATTTATGTGTCATAGGTACTCCTATAGCGATAATAATTTTCCTAAAGTCGATGAATAGAAATATTTAAATGATCTACATGCTCATAATTTGAAATAAATAATAATAATAGATAAATTAACTGTATGATAGTACGATGATTTAGATAATATTTAACCAGCAATAATTCGATCATCATTTAGAGAACTAAATTTAATTCTTATAAGTGACAAAACATTTTTTGAAAACTAACACATTAGACTTTTTTCTGAAGAAATTAATTTCGTGTGAAAAATTGTATATACGTCACAATTACATATATGTAATCAGTGTAATTTATATTCATTATTAAATTATTATCCGCCTAAATACAATATCATAAGAATAAATTAAATTATTTAATATTAACATTTTTTTTTTAGTTAAGGATAAATTAAATTTAACTTTCGATAAGCAAGCTAAGACGTAAGAAACTTGAATTTAAACAACTAGAGTCCAGCATCAATCAATAAACTCGACAATAATTATTTCCGGTAGTCAGTGTATGGATGCAATCAAGAATATATCCAGCAACCTTTACATCTCCGGCATTGGATAACAGTCCAAGTTAATACATTTAGTATTAGAAGAGGATTATAATACATTTTCGTGTTACTTAACATAATACGACGATATATATACTAAACCTGTTTAAATATATAGAAAATTCGGCAATGCTTGTTTTATAATTTTTTGTTGACATTTAAAATTGTATCAGTCAAGCTTTACAGAATCAATAAACTCGACCATAACTGCTTTAGATTAACCAGCAACTATACATTTTTAAGAATGCACTTCAAGCGCTAAGTCTTTGCCAATAATTTTAAGTAAAAAAAATATAAATTTAACACGTTTTTATATATTTTTTGGAATTTCAACAAAGACCTTTTAAGTGATAAATTACTATCCTGCTAATTATGCTATATATTATGTGTAGCCATAATTGTAAAAATATAAATGTATAGTATTTATTGTTTTTAATTGAAATCTAAAGAATATGTTAACGTGTTAACATAGTAAAAAAATAATATATTTTTATTTTTATCAATATGAGATAAAAATTATATTCAAACAAGCACAAAAAAATATCTTCAACTCTATAGTAATTTTATTATCTCCTAAATTATACAATAATTATCGAATAATTGTACACTAAATATAAATACCAGTAAGCCACTATTATTAAAAAACATTACATAAAAAATTTTTTTTTAAAACACTCAAGCTGACAGAAACTTTGGTTTCGGGGTTGAAGACCTATAACAGGTATAATGACAGTCCAAACCACCGTTGTTAAAGTGGATTACCCATGCATATATTTTCATAACATTGTAATTTTTTTATAGGTACTTTAAGTCTTTAACTGTGGTAGTAATGGTGGTGCGTACGTACATATAATATATATACATAAATTTAGTGACAAGACACAAATTTTCTTCACAAACCAAGTGTATAATAATACAATATAATTTCAACAATTACAAACGTTATCAGACACCGTCGCAGATAATAAAGTGGTGGAAATTCCATAGTCGGATACCGTGAGAAAGTCCGGTTGACCGGTAAATCGTCGGTCTGGACTGAATGTAATATACAATTAATGATATACGTATTATCATGTACGTCTGAGAGATTTGGGTTTTGCGAGTACCTAAGAGTATACTCATGTATATTCGGCCAGCCAAAAATCGGTACGAGATTTCGGATTTTTTTTTTTTTTTTTGATTTTTTTCAAGTAGGCCGAGTCTTGTCTAACCCGTACCGTCCACTTTTGATAATATACAAAAATACGAAATAATTGCTCTCCGTCGTCAGTGTACGTCAATCAACTGCGTGCTTTACCATTTTGCGATGTGCGCGCATAATATTATATATATAAAGCGTATAAAATTATTATCTCTGCGGATCCTCTTAATTTTTTTTTTCGAATCCACCTAAATGGGCAATTACAGTCGCGCACTCACAGACACGTTTAATTATCGTCGTTATAATATATAATAAACATAGGCGTATGTGAGTGTGTGTACGAAATTTTGTGTTTTTTCTTTACCCTAACGGGTTCTTACCTTTTTTGAGTGTGTATAATTTGCAAGAACGGAATGCGTAAATACATCTACAGCACGTGTATATAGGTATAGGTATATCATATATTGTATGATACGCGTTTACGTCGTTTTCAAAACACTAATCAGCGGATAATAACAACGCGCGCCCTGTCCGGACTAAATTATATTATAGTGAAATAACAGAATTTGACTTTTTATTTGACGGCGTAAACGTGAACGTGGCAGTGGCTGGTGGCCAGCGGGTAAACGGGGAGGTAAGAGTGTAAGAGAGAGTGAGAGAGTAAGGATATTGTGAGAGAATGAGAGAGTAAGGATCACCAGAGAGAATAACCGTTCAAACGCGAATTGTCACAAATCTGGGCGGCACCCGGGCGACTATACCTATATTATAAGTTATAAAACCTGTAATTATTATTATCCAAACGATATTTTATATGTATTATTATAGATATTTACCTGAGCCCATTGAGCGGCGCCGACAGTCTATTTACGTAAAGCAATTATGTTCCGCGAGATCGAATTAATATTTGACATTTTAAGCGTACTCTTCATTTTTAACCTCAGTTCCTTCCTCCTGTCATAGATTACTGAATAACGGAGA